CAAAATGGGCTGTTTATTTGCTCCCAATAAATTGGTGGGCAGTAAGTTAAGAAATCAGTGTGGCTTGGGTGGGTGAGTCACTCTCAGGGAGGGCTGACGCATGTACTTTTAAGTGTGTAAATTGTATGGTGTGTGAATTAGATCTTGGTAAAACTATCTCCCATTCTAGCCACCCCCATGAAACCAGTGTGGCCAGTTTGTTACCTATCCTTCCAGAATCATGCATTAAAATCCCACATCTTTATTTATTAATTTTTTAAAAAATGGACTATATTTTTCAGAGCAGTTTTGGGTTCACAGCAAAATTGAGCAGAAGGTACAGAGATTTCCCATATACCTGCCACCGTCACACATGCATAGAGTCCCTGCTGTCAACATCCCCCACCCCCAGTGGTGATTTTCCTACAATCCATGAACCTACATTGACACTTCATTATCACCCAGAGTCCATAGTTTACATCCGAAAGCCCACATCTTTAGATAAACCCTCCCACCCACCTTGTAATACTGCTATCTTTACCTTATGTATTTCCCTCTGAGTTTTTTTTGGAAGCTCTAGAATTTTTGTTTTAATTGAAGTATAGTTGATCCCTCCAACTTCGTGTTTTGAAAAATTCTAAGCCTGCTGAGCAGTTCCAAGGCAAGTTCAATGAATAGCCACGAACCCTTTGCTGGATTCACCAGTTAAGGTGCTGCCCCACTTTTTTTTTTAAATTAGTTTATTTTTTAACCAGTCTCTCTCTCTCTTCTTTTTTTTTTTTTGTGGAGGGGAGGTAATTAGGTTTTTATTTAATTTATTCATTTTAGTGGAGACACTTGGGATTGAACCTACGACCTCATGCATGCTAAGCATGTGCTCTACCGCTAAGCTACACCCTCCCTCCTCCACTTGTTTTATCTTGACACACTCTTTTTATTTTATTTATTTTGGGGGCTGAACTATTTGCAGGTTGTAGTCATCACGATACTACAGTAGAGTTATAATCAAGCCATTTAACATGAGATGATACTGTTATGGTCTTATGTGTTTATTTATTATTTTTTAATGGAGGTACCGGGGATTGAACCCAGGACCTCGTGCATGCTCAGCACGGAGATGGTACTGTTATCCCGTAGACAGTCCTTACCCAGTTTGCCCAGTTGTTCCAGTAACATCCTGCAGAGCCCTTTTTGGTTTTTCAGTCCATGATCTGATCTGGGATCATGCCTGGCGTTTAGTTGGCATGACTACACAATCTCTCCTTTAATCTAAAATAGTTTCCTGGCCATTTCTACCCCCTTCGTGACGTTGACATTTTTGAAGATTCCATCTTGCAAGCCAGTCTTTACTTCGGTTCGATTGTTTCCTAATGACCAGAGTCAGGGTAAACATTTTATTAGACTTTTTTTTTTTAATGCGAAAGCTAACACCCTTAAGTGCACTTTGCTTTCTCTACCTAACAATGGGTCTTTGAGAGTCCTCTGTGTCAGTACGTGGTGAGCTTCCTCATTCCTTTATAGAGCTGCATAATATTCCATGGGACAGAATTAATGGAACTTATTTAAACAGTCCCCCAGGAGAGGACATTTAGGTAGTTTCCAGTCTTTTGCGATTGCAAACAATGCTGCCGGAAATAACCTTACAAATGAAGCTTTTCATTTTGTGATAGTAGATCTGTAGCATAAACCCCTAGATGTGAAACTGCATCCTCCCCACTTTTATGTTTTCACTTGTGCAATTTACATTTGGTGAAACGCATAGGTCTCAAGCATGGAGTTGGTGGACAGTGCATTTCCATCGCCCCAGAGAAAAACCTCCTGCCCCTTCCCAGTCAGTCTCTCCCACCCCAGAAGCGGCCACTGGCCTGATTTCCAGCACCACAGGTGAGCTTACTCCATCCTAGAACTTCGTGTATATGGCATCACACAGTTTATACTCTCTTCTTAATAGAGGTGAAATTAACCATTTTAAAGTATACAGTCAGTGACATTTAGCGCCTTCACAGCCTTGTGCAGCCACCACCTCTAGTTTCAGAACATTTCCATCACCCAAAAGGGAATCCTGTACCCATTAGCAGTCACTCTCCATCCCCCTAGCATGTACTTGTATGTCTGGCTTCTTTTACGTGTGTTTTTGAGATTTGGCCGTCCTGTGTGTGTATCAGTAGCCATGTCCTTCTTAATGCTGAGAAGTATGTTGCCAACATTTGCCATGACACACCCCCAGTCAGGTCAGAATTTTTCTGTGCATTATTTGTTAAGGTCTAGGCTAACCTGCTATAACAAAGAGACACCAAAGCAAAGTGGCCCAGGCAACATACATATTTATTTCTCCCCATAACCATCCAAAGGGAGGCAGCTCTGCCCCAGGAGGTGGTCAAGGGCCCAGGTTCCTTCCATCTTGTAGCTCTGCCTTCCCTTCAGTGTTGTCCTTGTCCCTGTGGTCAAGGTTGGCTCACTGCCACCACACCCATGCTCTAGCCATTGGGAAGGGGGAAGAGGCTGGAGGGCAGGCTTCCTTTTAAGGCTGCCCCTAGGGGAGGGTATAGCTTAGTGGTAGAGCAGGTGCTTAGCATGCACAGTGTCCTGGGTTCAATCCCCAGTACCTCCACTTAAATAAATAAACCTAATTACATTCCCCCCACCAAAAAAGAAAGAAAGAAAGGAAGGAAGGAAGGAAGGAAGGAAGGAAGGAAGGAAGGAAGGAAGGCCCTTAAAAGGTTTAATTAAATGACAATGGAAAAAATAGGAAATAAAAAATTAAAAAAAAAAAAGGCTGTCCCAGAAGCTGCACATCTCACAGTCACCCTCAGTCCATGAGAGAACTTGGACATGTGACCAGCCCTGGCTATGCACCTTGGGAAATGTGGTCTCACGTTGGGCTGCCTGTGGCAGCTCCAAGGCAAAGAGTCTGTTGGAAAAAGGACCAAGGGAAGACTGGATGTGGGGGGACAGTTCCTAGATCCACAGGTGTTCTCTCCAACTGGGTCCTCCCAGCTGGGTCTGGGTCCCCTTTTGGTTCCCATAATCCCCTCCATCTTAGCCTGATGCTGGGAGACAAATACTTTTTTTAAACTTCTTTTTCTTTTTTTAGTAATTTCAAACTTACAGGGGGGTTGAAAAATAAGAATAGTATGAAGAACACCTATAAACTCTTTACCCAGGTTCCCATTTTAAGGTTTACCCTATGTACTTTGTGTTTTTTGTTTTTGTTTTTTTAATTGTGGTGGGAGGGATAATTAGGTTTATTTGTTTAATTTTTTTAAATGGAGGTACTGGGGATTGAACCCAGGACCTCGTGCATGTTAAGCCTGCTCTCTACCACTGAGCGGTACCTACTCCCGCATTTACTTTGTGATTTGCAAGCATGCACGTTTTTTCTCCTATGTGTATGTATGCACACTTAAAATTTTTTTTCAAAGTAGCTTGCATATATCGTGGCCATTTGCCCTTAAATACTTGAGTGTGCATTTCCTTAGCATATTCTCTTACTGACCCATAGTCAAGTTACTGACTTAAATAGGTTTAGCCTGAATACAGTCTTTTGTCTAATCTACTAGAGGATATGTACTTTTTATCAATATATCTTCTCAAAATATACCCTCCAAATAACTCTGTATAGGTTGCAATTAAGAAAACATATACAAATAGTCTCTATTTGGTTTTTGTGTTGGCTGCGTTGGATCCTGTATGGGGGCTTCGTTAGTATAAAGGGCATTTTGGGGACAATTGGAGAAATTGAAAGATGGACTTTTTTTTTTTTTGAGGTATAGTTGATTTAAAATTTTGTGTTAGTTTCTGGTGTACAGCATAATGATTCAGTTATATTATATATATTCTTTTTCATTTGGACTCTTTTTAAAAAAATTATTGAGTCCATGTTAAATATCCTGGATTTGATCATTGCACCATGCTTATTTAAGAGAATGTCCCTGTTCTTCAGAGACAGTGCTAAGGTATGCAGGGGTCAAGGGGCATGGTCTCTGCAACTAACTTGCAAATGGTTCTGGGAAAATAAGTCATAATATGACATGCACAGTTATATATGGTATGGGGTTGTGAAAACAAATACAGCGATATATTGACACTTGGGGAATCTGGGAGAAGGGCATATGTGAGTTTGATGAGTTTGAAATGGCTTCATAATAAAAAGGATTCTTTTTTTTTTTAAATTGTAGTTGATTTACAATATCACCAGAAATTGACACAACACTGTAAACTGATAGAACTTCAGTTAAAAAACAAAACAACAGTGTTACTAGTTTCTGGTGTACAGCAGAGTGATTCAGTTATACATGTTTATATATTCTTTTTCATCTTTTTCATTATAGGTTATTACAAGATGTTGAATGTAGTGCCCTGTGCTAGCAGTAGGACCCTGTTGTTTATCGATTTTGTATGTAGTAGTGTTTATCTGCAAATCCCAAATGCCTAATTTATCCCTCCCCTTCTCCAAAAAAGGATTCTTGTTTTTGGCTTGTTGTCAAGTGGGATGGGGAGCCTCTGAAATGCTTTGGGCTGGGAAGGGACCTGGTGGGATTCATGTTTCACACTACCCGCCCCACCCCACCCTGGCCCCCAGTGCAGGGACTGGCCTGTAGGAGGTGCTTCCCAGCTGATTGTCCAAGGAAGGCCTGGGCTGACGGGGAGAGGGGCAGGCGAAGGCCTCAAGGGCAGAGGCTCCTGGGAAACAGAGGGGGCTGAGGACCAAGCCTGTGATGGGGAGAGAGGGTGGAAGCCATGTAAGGCAGGTGCCAAGGGGTCGGCAGTGGGGCAAGCAAACAGGACAAAGGATGTGGGGGGCTTGAGCATGTGAGGAAAGGCTTAAACTGAGGTGGTCATTGCCTGATGACTGCTGAGCATCTGGAGGGTGCCAGCACCTCTGTGGGGGCAGTAGGGGTGAGGGACGGAGAGTCGTGTCACTCTTCAGGGACTCTGGGAATTCAGAGGCTGGTGGTCCAGGTGGGTCCCGGTGGGTACTCGGGAGGTGGTGGAGAAGATGGGAGCCCTCACTCCACCCCGCCTCGCCCCGCAGGATGGAGGGTAAGCGGCGACCAGGTCCAGGGCCCCGGGGTGCCCCCCAAAGCGGGCCCGTGGGAGCCTCTGGGACGAGGATGAGGCCTACCGGCCATCACAGTTCGAGGAGGAGCTGGCGCTGATGGAGGAGATGGAGGCGGAGCACAGGCTGCAGGAGCAGGAGGAGGAGGAGCTGCAGTCGGCCCTGGAGGGGACTGTGGACGGTGAGGCCTGGACCGGGACCCCCGCACCCCCACCTGTCGTGCCTCTGGCCCACTTGCAGTGCCCTAGAGCTGACCTTTGACCCATGTCAGCATGCCACCTCTGTCACCTGCAGCTGCTCTTCTGACCTTGACCCTTGACTCCGCGGTCCTTCTGGAATTTCCCACCTGATCTAAAACACGACCTTTACCTGACTTTCTTTCCCAAATCAGATGCCACCTGAGAGATGGTGGACTGTGCCGGGAGGGCGGTTCCTTATTTCTGAAGCAGGATCACAACTCCATGTCTCCCTGTTTCCCTCCCCGCATCCAGGGCAGTTCTCCTCGACAGCCATAGATGCCCGCTGGCTTCGGCCCTCCCCGCCCCCACTGGACCCCCAGACAGAGCCCCTCATCTTCCAGCAGCTGGAGATTGACCATTACGTAGGTAAGTGTAGGGGGTGAGAGGAGGGGCCCTGGGCTTCTGGGGTGGAGGCTGGGCCGGTCAGGCCCTGTGACTCTGTGGGAGGAGGTGGGCACAGACAGTCCCTGCCCAGGTGACCAGGGCTGTGGCCGGGGGGGCAGGGCCGGGGGTGCCTAGGGTCTGGCAAAGGGTTAAGGGGCATCCTGGAGGCAGGGGGCATCTTCCAACAGAGTCCTTAAGGTAGGAAGAGATAGCTCCTTGCACAAGGGAGAGATGTGTGGTGTGGCATCCATCCATCCATCCAGTTAATCAGGAACAGCTGAGCACCTGTGTTGTCAGGCCCTGTTCCAGGCAGCCTGGGTCCCTACTCTCAGAGGCCCACGTTCTAGAAGGAGAGGCAGAATTAAAAAGGAAGTAGAACAGCGAGGTGGTGAGGGTTATGGAGGAGCATAAAGTAGGGTCGGGGTGCCAGGCCTCGCATCTCAGAGACCCAGGAAGGCCTCTCTTCAGAGGTGACAAGTGCCGTGGGGGTGTCTGGGAAAGCAGGGTTCTGGGCAGTGTGCCCTGCAGAGGGAGCAGGTCTGACGTGTTTAAGGAACAGCTAAGAGACCAGTGAGGCAGGAATGAGGGCCCAAGATGAAGGTGGGCAGTCATCTGAGATCCTCTCGGCCCAGCAAGGACTTCAGGGCTCCATTCTGGGTGAGCTGGGAAGTCTCTGGCGATGCAGAGACCCACCCCAAGCTCCGACTTGCGTATTAGAAGGCTTCCCCGTACGAGAATGAAAAGACAAGCTGTAGGCGGGGAGGAAACATTTGCCATCCACATATCTGCCAAAGGACTGGTGTTGCGAATATATAAAGGACATTGGGATCTCAATAGAAGAAAAGTCCAGTTCAAAAGTGGATAAAAAACTTGGACAGACAGTTCACTAGATAAACACATGAGATGAGGCTCTGTGTCATCAGCTATCAGGGAAATGCAAATGACAGCCACTGTGAGACACAGACACACACCTGTTGGAAAGGCTAAAGTAAAATAAACCAACATCACCAAGTGCAGACAGGGATGCAGCTCGCCGGGAACTCTGTGCACTTGGTGGGCTGCAGTTTGGTGCAGCCACTCTGGGAAACAGCCTGGCAGTTTATTACAGAGCTCAACCTACCTGTTTCTCATTTTTCTGGTGGTAATCTAATCTAATATTTGGTTTTTTTTTCCCCTGAGCTTTATTGCCATATAGGAGTTAAAGCTAGGGGTGGGGTGTAGCTCAGTGGTAGAGCACGTGCATAGCATGCATGAGGTCCTGGGTTCAATCCTCAGTACCTCCACTAACCCCCACCTCCAAAACAAGTGAAACCTATTTTTACCATAGGACCCAGCAATTCCACCCCTAAATATTTAACCCAGAGAAACAAAAACCTCCATTCAAACCGAAACCATGAATGTCAATGGCTCTGTTCATAACCACCCCAAACCTGGAACAGCACACGCGTCCCCCAGCGGGCGGGTGAAGGGCTGAGCACGGCACACAGAGCTTCCCCACAATGAAAAGGAACAGACTGTTCACCCACGAGGTGACAGGGATGGATGTCAGAGGTGTCATGCTGAGTGACAGAAGCCAGACACAACATACAGTGTGACTCCATTATGTAGATGGTCTTAGAAAGACAAAATGAGAATGACAGAGGACACACGGGCGGTGCCAGGGGCTGGGGAGGAGGCAAGTATGAGTACAGCTCAAGGGGGCAAAAGGGCAGCTCAAGGGGGCTGTTTGGAGTGATGAGATCGTCCTGCACCCCCGTTTTGGCGGTGGTGACACGAATCTGTCTCTGCAAGTCCATAACGCTACACACACAAAATCGATTTTCCTCTTGAAAATGTTTTTATTTGCAAAGGAAAGCAGAGGCTCCCTCTAGCCGTGTGGTGGGAAAAGAACTGTAGGGGGACAAGGGTGGAAACCAAAACCGAAGGGAGGCAGGCAGACCTTTGAGGATTCTGAGGGGCAGCCCCTGCCTCACCCTATGACACCCCCAGGCCCAGCACGGCCCCTGCCTTGGGGACCCCCACCATCCCAGGGCTCTGTGCCTGTGCTCCGAGCCTTCGGGGTCACCGACGAGGGCATCTCGGTCTGCTGCCACATCCATGGCTTTGCGCCCTACTTCTACACCCCGGCGCCCCCTGGTGAGTGGTCCCGACCCAAAAGACCCCTCCCCCCAACTCCTGGCACCTGGGGCCCCCCTGCCCTCTGACCAACCCCCCACACCCAGGTTTCGGGCCTGAGCACCTGGGCGACCTGCAGAGGGAGCTGAACGGGGCCATCAGCCGGGACCAGCGCGGTGGGAAGGAGCTCACGGGCCCGGCCGTGCTGGCCGTGGAGCTATGCACCCGGGAGAGTGAGTGGCCCCCCAGGGGCTGGGTGGGTGGCAGGGACTCCCTCCAGGCCTCTGGGCCGGTGCCAGCCTCCTCTGTCTGCAGGCATGTTTGGGTACCATGGGCACGGTCCCTCCCTGTTTCTGCGCATCACCCTGGCGCTGCCCCGCCTCGTGGCCCCCGCCCGCCGCCTCCTGGAGCAGGGCATCCGTGTGGCAGGCCTGGGCACCCCTAGCTTCGCGCCCTACGAGGCCAACGTTGACTTTGAGATCCGGTAGGGCCCCCTGCCTGGCTTCTCCAACCTTCACCCCGACGCCCCTCCCCAGGCAGCCTCTCCCTGCTAACCCTCAATCCCCTGCAGATTCATGGTGGACACAGACATCGTTGGCTGCAACTGGCTGGAACTCCCGACCGGAAAATATGTCCTGCGGCCGGAAGGGAAGGTGCGTGGGTCCCCAGGGGTGGGGGGTGCCTAGAGCCTGGACCCTGCAGCTGCTGACCCACCTCGTCCCCGCAGGCCACACTGTGCCAGCTGGAGGCAGATGTGCTGTGGTCGGACGTGGTCAGTCACCCGCCAGAAGGGCAGTGGCAGCGAATTGCACCCCTGCGTGTGCTCAGCTTTGACATCGAGTGCGCTGGCCGCAAAGGTCCCTGCCTGGGCCCTGGGGGTCGTCCCTCTCCTGCTGCCTCTCTCTGGACAGTAGTGTTGTGCCAGTGTCACCCTGGGAGTCCCTGCGCTTCTTGAGCTTACTCAGAGCAGGGGGTAAACACACAGTGGCTAGGTTATTGTAAGACTCGCAGCACGAAGGAGGGTGGTAGTGGAGAGTGATAGGGCCACTGCAGACAGGTGGGCAGGGAGGGCCTCAGGGATGTGGGAAGGACAATTTCACCTTGTGAAGAGGGACGGGCCCAGGTGTAGGGTGGGGAGAGCATTCCCCACAGCAAGAACAGCAAGTGCAAAGGCCCTGGGACAGGGCAGTGGGTAGAGAAAGGAACAGACAGGCCTGGTGAGATTTAGGGGTGCCCCCACCCTGGTGTGTCAGGAGGAAGCATCGGGAGTCAGGTCCCCTGCCTCCCCCTCCTCCTTCCCTGTGCAGGCATCTTTCCTGAGCCTGAGCGGGACCCCGTGATCCAGATCTGCTCGCTGGGCCTGCGCTGGGGTGAACCAGAGCCCTTCCTGCGCCTGGCACTCACCCTGCGGCCCTGCGCCCCTATCCTGGGTGCCAAGGTGCAGAGCTACGAGCGGGAGGAGGACCTGCTTCAGGTGGATATTTTCAGAAGTACCTACCCAATCTTTCTTCCATGGGTGGGAGGGCTCTTGGGCTGCTCTTGGGGGTCTCCATAATATTCCAGGAGTGGGGAGGCTCCATGGCAGGGGATGACCCTGGGAGGACAGCCCAGGTGACCCCGTGGGCTCCCACTTCAGGCCTGGTCGTCCTTCATCCGGATCATGGACCCCGATGTGATCACCGGCTACAACATCCAGAACTTCGACCTTCCGTACCTCATCTCCCGGGCCCAGACCCTAAAGGTACTGTGGATGGGTCGGAATGACCTGCCCTCAGACACCCCGCTGGGGGCCCAGGGTATGGGCGGCTCCAGAAGCATCCCCGAAAGCCTGGCTCTGGCCCCCTCCCCACCCTGCCTAAAGTCTGGAAGGTTCCTAGGACTTCGGCAGAGGCTAGGACCATTTGTGGTCAAGTAAGAAAAGGGTCGTGTATGTGGAGGGGCAGAAGGAAGTGTGCAGTCCTGCAATGCCTTGTCCTCTAAGCTTTAAAATATGGCAGCAAAAAATAAGGAAAGGAGGGCTTTCTTCCAGTAGGTGCCCAAAGCCTGTTGCTCGGTGGACCTGGGCGAGGCCGTGTGGGGCATGTCAGTTCACTAGCGCTGCCGTACGTAACAAAGCCCCACAGACGTGCGTCCCCTCGCAGTCTGCAGGCTGCAGTCAAGGTGTCTCAGGGTTGGTTCCTTTGGTGGCGTCCTTGCTTCTGGTGCCCTTAGACATGCCTGGGGTGTTCTCCCTGACTCTTCCCCGCATCCCCCCTCTGTGCGTGTCTCTGTGCTCCAATGTCCCCTTTTTCTAAGAACACAATCATTATGGATCAGAGCCACCCTCTGTTTTTTTAAGGTTTATTTGTTTATTTATATTTTTAATGGCGGTGCTGGGGATTGAACCATGGACCTCGTGCATGCTAAACACACTCTCTACCACTGAGCTATACCCTCCCCTCAAGGCCACCCTCTTGACCTCATCTGAACTCGATCCCCTGCAGAGACCCAGTTTCCAAGTGAGGTCCCATCCTGTGCAACAGGAGTTAGGACTACAACGTCTTTAGCGGGGAGGGACACGGTTCAACCTACAACGGGGTACATTGTATTCTTTTCTTCCTTTTCTGTGTGTTTGGCCAGTTTCATAATGGGAAAAACAACCACACTGACGGCCCCCAGTGGCTCCAAGGAGAAGTCCACCCCTATCAGCCTGGCGTTTCCAATTGGGCCTCCCTCCCCCTGCCCCAGCCAGGCTGCTCCCACCCCAGCTCCGGCCCCTCTGCTCCCCTGGTCCTGCCCAGCTCAGTCTCCAGCGTAGATGCCTCCCCCTGACCCAGACCCATCTCTCCACATGGCCCCCTGCTGTGTTCTCTCCTGGCCTCCCGCAGGCCCCCCACCCTGTGCACCCATTCCTTGCCCACCAAACTCAGCATCGTCCCAAAATCTGCACTTCTGGCTCCCCATTTGGATACAGCCCCCCATCCCCTGGGCACCATCCTTGCCCCTTTACCCCCACAGTGTCAGGCCCCAGATTCTCTATTCTTGCTGTCCTAGCCACCAGGGCTCCCAGCAGGAAGAGGGAGGCATCGTGGAGTGGTTTGGTCACTGTTCCTGGGGCTCAGCCCTGGGGCTGTTCCCCACTGCCGCCTGCATGCTGTGCCCCCATGCTGTGTCCCCAGGTGCCGGCCTTTCCCTTCCTGGGCCGCGTGTCCGGTCTCCGCTCCACCATCCGGGACTCATCCTTCCAGTCGAAGCAGACCGGCCGGCGGGACAGCAAGGTGGTCAGCATGGTGGGCCGCGTGCAGATGGACATGCTGCAGGTAGGGCCAGGCCGGGCGGGGACCTGACATCCTGGGACCACGGCGGGGCGCTGACGCCCACCCTGCCCCGCCCGCCCCAGGTGCTGCTGCGGGAGTACAAGCTCCGGTCCTACACGCTCAATGCCGTGAGCTTCCACTTCCTGGGCGAGCAGAAGGAGGATGTGCAGCACAGTATCATCACCGACCTGCAGGTGCCCGTGACCTCTGCCCCAGCCGCCCGCTGGCCAGAGATCTCTCACCACCTCCACCTGACCTCCGACTTCAGTCCCCCACCTCCCTTCCTGGCCTGGAACTTCTGCCTCCCACCTGTCCTCCTGACCTTCCCCTTAACCTTCTGCCCTCCACCTCCGAGCGTGCCCTGCAAATGAGACCCGTATCCCTAACCACTCCATGACCTCTGGCACGGTGCCCTTTGTTCGGCTCTCCTGCCCCGACCAGTGGTCCATGCCAGCCCCTCAGAGCTCGCCCTTCTAACTCTGACGCTGTGTCTGCGCCCCTCTGCCTGCCACCCTCAGAACGGGAACGACCAGACGCGCCGCCGCCTGGCCGTGTACTGCCTCAAGGACGCCTTCCTGCCGCTGCGGCTGCTGGAGCGGCTCATGGTGCTGGTGAACGCCATGGAGATGGCGCGGGTCACCGGCGTGCCCCTCAGCTACCTGCTCAGCCGAGGCCAGCAGGTCAAGGTCGTGTCCCAGCTGCTGCGGCAGGTCAGTGGTTGGAGCCCAGGGCGGGCCCCGCCCCCTTGCCCCCCCACCTCTGGCTCAGGCTCAGGGGTCCTGCCCGCGCCCAACCTCTGTTGCGCCTTCTCCCCTCCCAGGCCATGCGCGAGGGGCTGCTGATGCCCGTGGTGAAGACTGAGGGCGGTGAGGACTACACGGGGGCCACGGTCATCGAACCCCTGAAAGGGTGAGGCCCAGTGGTGGGGAGCGGCAGCGGGAGAGAGGGGTCCGGGGCCTGACTCCTCCCCGCCCCCCAGGTACTACGACGTCCCCATCACCACTCTGGACTTCTCCTCGCTGTACCCGTCCATCATGATGGCCCACAATCTGTGTTACACCACGCTCTTGCGGCCCGGGGCCGCCCAGAAACTGGGGTACAGCGACTTCCCTTGGCGCGTGTACCCCGAGACCGCCGAGCGGCCAGCCTCAGGCGGGGAGGGGCTGGGGACCCGGGGAGGGGAGGGGCCTGGCAAGAGGTGGGAGGATCCTAAAGGGGGGGGGTGGAGGAGGAGGAGCCAGGAAGGCCGGGTGTCACCCCTACCGTCTTCCACCCAGCCTGACGGAGGACCAGTTTATCAAGACGCCCACAGGGGATGAGTTTGTGAAGACATCAGTTCGGAAGGGGCTCCTGCCCCAGATCCTGGAGAACCTGCTCAGTGCCCGGAAAAGGTGGGCTCTTGAGTTCCCCCTGCCCAACCCCTCTCAGAGCCCAGACTTGCTGTGTTGGCTTGGCAATCCCTGTGCCTCGTGGGGGCGCTTAGCCACATCTGTGCAGGAATTAGAACATGGCACCCACTTGTTGAATTAGAGCAGGCAGCTCCCTTTAGTCCCTCTGCTGGGCACCTCTGTGCAGTATGTAGCCTGCACAACCGTCCATGGCACCCCTTTCCAGAAAGGCATACTGATTGGTGCCCAGGCCTGGGTCACTCATCTCCCACTGTGGCCTGAGACGTCCCCTGAGTGGCCTTTTCTCCCCGCTCCTTCCAGGGCAAAGGCTGAGCTCGCCAAAGAGACAGATCCCCTGCGACGGCAGGTCTTGGACGGTCGGCAGCTAGCGCTGAAAGTGAGCGCCAACTCTGTGTATGGCTTCACTGGTGCCCAGGTGGGCAAGCTGCCGTGTCTGGAGATCTCACAGGTGAGTGCACAGTGGCAGGTGGGGGACAGACAGCCCCCCTTGGGGCGAACCAGGGCTCTACCTGGTGGAGGGCAAGGCCCAGGTCTCCCCAACCCACCAGCGTTTTGGAGAATGGACACTGGAGTGATTGGTTCACTGGTTGGCTCAACAAACACTTGCTACCCATCTGCTGTGGGTTGGACCTTGTGCCCCGTGGGTCCAGCAGGTGACAAAGGGGACAAGAGTTCCTGCCCTCGTGCAGTGCCCAGCCCAGTGGGGACACAGATGGTGACAGCAGTAAACATGTATCTATTGGTTGCAGGAGGGTAGAGCTCAGTGGTAGAGCGTGTACTTAGCATGCACGAGGTCCTGGGTTCAATCCCCAGTACCTCTTTTTAAAAAATAAATAAGTAAATTTAAAAACTTAATTATCCGCCCCCCCCCCCGCAAAAGCAAGCAAGCAGTTGACGCCAAGGGCTCTGTAGACAAAGTCTGGGAGGGATGGGGAGTGGCAGGGCAGGGCGTGGAGGGCAGAGGCCCAGGGACTGAGGGACAGAAACTTGTTCTGTCCATCTGTCCCATAGTCATGTGACAGAGCCCACGTCCCTGGCAGTCTCCACCCCAGCCCACCTCCTCCCTGGTCCCTGTTTAAGGGTAGGGAGAGCAGAGAGCAGGTTCCCTCCCTGCTCCCGATGGGAGAACAGGGCAGTGTCTCTGTCAGTGGGCTGGGGGTCACCCAGCAGCATGGTCAGGCTCCAGCACTTGATTTGCACAAGGGTTCCCCATCCTGTCCCTGTGTGAGGACCCCAGTGAGGACGCTGGGCAGGTGCTAGGACGGTGCTGTGCTCTGAGAGGGAATGTGGGCAGGAAGGATCACTGCCTCCCTCCCCGCCCGCAGCAGTATCCTAGGCCTGTTTACCAGAGGCCACTGTGCTGCTCAGACCAAAAAACAGATCCAGGGCAAGACCACAGAGGGCTTGAGTCTCTGAGGTTCTGCCAAGCTGGTATCAGTGCCTCAGCTCAGGGCCTGAGAGGTTCTTAGAAAGGTCTTCTGTCTAGCCCTCTCCCCTAGGGTTTGGGTCCCTGCCCATGCCAGACTTGGTTACCTCCGGCCATGGGGAGCTCCCTCCCTCCCTGAACATTGTGTCAGTCCTCACACCGCTCTGGGTGGGAGGCTTGGAAGAATTGGCAGTGGGTAGGCCTTGTGCTTGGGAGGGACCTGTGCACACACCTACCCACTTGCAGTTCAGATCCAGTGATTCACTAGAGGGACTTGGAGAACTCAGAAAAGAGCTGTTACACTTGTGGTTACGATTTATTACAGTGAAAGGAGAGGGATTGAAATCAACCAAGGGAAAGGCAGAGTCCAGGGAGACCAGGCACAGGCTTCCAGTTGTCTGTCCCAAGGGCGGTCCCACAGACAGCACTTGGTTCTCCCGGCATTCCTGTGTGACCTCACACACGTGGTGCTGCCCCTCAGGGAAGCTCGCCTGAGCCTTGGTGTCCTGGGTGTTTATTGGGGGTCAGTTACACATGCATGGAGCACCCGTGTGACTCCATCTCCAGTCCCTCCAGAGGTTAGGCTGATACCACATGGCCCAAGGTCCCCACCATAAATCACGTTGTTATCATAGATCACTTGGTGTGACCCAAGGTCCAGGTCAGCAAAGACACTTATCAGACAGGACATGCCAAGGGCTGAGAGGTTCCCTCCCAGGAGCCAGCCAAGAGCCGAGCCTCTCTTAGGGTGAAGTCAGTCCCTTACTGTTGGCCACCCTTACCCCTCGTATGGGCCTTTCACAGTCCCCAGGGGCCTCCCCCAGCCTGCTTGGAGGAAAGAAGTGGATGTTTGGCCGCCAGGTTCCAGCCGCTAAGGGAAGACCAGGCAGGAGGGTGCAGCTTTTCTCCCCCTGGTCCTTCCTCATCGGGGCTGCCACTTCCTGGCCTTGTCTCTGTCTTTTCCCTCTCAGCCCCTTCCCTTCTGTCTGTTTCTGAGCCTCTTTCCCTATTTCTGTCTCTCAAGTTTATGGGGGCAGGGAGATGGGATAATAAAAAAAATACTGACTCATTCCAGAAAAAGATGAGGAAAGAAAAAGGAACATACAACAGGTGGAACAAATAGAAGACAGTTCGTACAACGGTAGATTTAAGCCCAGCTATAGTCAGTCATTACACTAAACGTAAGTGGCCTCAATGCTCTAGTTAAACACAAAGATTTTCTACCTGGATCCAAACAAAACAGAAGAGTCAAACCCATTTCTCCTTAGTGTCTCCCTCCTCTTCCCCTAGCCTCAGTTTCCTTATTTGTAAAATAAACTTGTTAGAAAGGGATAGTCTCTGCATGGTGCTGGTACAAGCCCTCTACCTTGGGGACGGCGTTTGACAGTGTGTAGGGTCATTTCTGGTTGCCCAAGGATGAGAGGGGCAGCACTGCTGGCTCCCCCAGGGGGAGGGCAGCCAGGAATGTCAGTAGTCCTGCACCACAGAGAGCTGCCCACAATACCACCGGGTGTCTCAGCACCTCTGTGGAGAGAAGCTCTGAGCTGATGGCCTCTTGTGGCTCCAAACTTTCCACCACTCATAAGCTGCAGTCAGTTCCTCCTCTGTGCCATCAGCTTTGGGCCAGCAACCCAACACTTCTTTCCAACAGACCATTAAGGAACAGCTCAGTAGCCCCGTTTTGCAGATTTGGAAACAGGCCTAGAGAGGTGGAATGGCTCACCCATTCTCACACCCGCAGAAAGCAGCAGAGGTGGGACCCCAGCCTGTGTTTCCTGCAGGCAGCCCCTGGGCCTTCACTCTGCGTGATTCTCTCCCCCAACAGAGTGTCACCGGGTTCGGGCGCCAGATGATTGAGAAAACAAAGCAGCTCGTAGAGTCCAAGTACACGGTGGAGAACGGCTACAGTGCCAACGCCAAGGTCAGGGCCTCCAGGCCACCCGTTGCTGCCTGAGATGGACCTGGGGCTAGTACTGGGGATGCAGGGGCCACCAGCACCGCCGGTCACATGCGCCCCTCCCCAGGTGGTGTACGGTGACACTGACTCTGTCATGTGCCGATTCGGCGTCTCCTCTGTGGCTGAGGCCATGGCCCTGGGTCGGGAGGCTGCAGACTGGGTGTCTGGCCACTTCCCTTCGCCCATCCGGCTGGAGTTTGAGAAAGTAAGTGGGGAGTCCGATCTGGCGTCGCAGGGGCCATCCCTGCCTGTTCCTGAGGAAGTCTCAGGACTGGACCTCGGCCCCCACAGGCTTAGGTCTAAGCCGCGACTTCCCCCAGGTCTACTTCCCATACCTGCTCATCAGCAAGAAGCGGTACGCGGGCCTGCTCTTCTCCTCCCGGCCCGACGCCCATGATCGCATGGACTGCAAGGGCCTGGAGGCTGTCCGCCGGGACAACTGCCCCTTAGTGGCCAACCTCGTCACCGCCTCGCTGCGCCGCCTGCTCATCGACCGGTGTGTGGGACCCCCACCCCCACCTGGAGCCTGGCCCCTCCTCCCTCGGTCCCAGAAGCCTGGCCCCCAGCCCCTCCTCCCCTGGGGACACAGGTGTCAGGCCCAGCCCTTCCTCGGTGGCCGCGCTGTGGAAAGAGTGTGGGGTTGGACAGCTGTGGGTTTAAGCCCTACCTCTGCTACTTGGCAGCCTGTGGCCGGGCAGGGACCCTCCCCGCCCCCGGAGCTCATCCTGGTCCCCCAGCCTTGGGCCGCAGAGATGCCAGCCTGGCCCCGCCCCCGGCAGCAGCTGGTGACGCCCACCTGTCCTCCCCAACAGAGACCCGGCGGGGGCCGTGGCGCATGCGCAGGACGTCATCTCCGACCTGCTGTGCAACCGCATCGACATCTCCCAGCTGGTCATCACCAAGGAGCTGACCCGCGCTGCTGCCGACTACGCTGGCAAGCAGGCCCACGTGGAGCTGGCCGAGAGGTCCGCCCAGCGCGGGAGGGGGCGGGACCTGCCAGAAATAGCCCTACTCTTGCCAGCTGGGCCCACCACTTCCTACTCCCCCGCCCGCCCCTGCCATCCCACCTGCCCTCACCCGCCCCGCCGCCCCGGTCTCCCCGCAGGATGAGGAAGCGGGACCCCGGGAGCGCGCCCAGCCTGGGCGACCGTGTCCCCTACGTGATCATCAGTGCCGCCAAGGGCGTGGCCGCCTACATGAAGTCCGAGGTCAGGCCCACCTGGGCTGCCCGCGCCCGCTCAGCTCTCCTCAGTTCTCACTTCTGCTTTCCAGGCTGGGCGGGGAGGGAGGGTGTTTCTCTCTGTGGGCCCCACGGGGCCTTGAGAACCGCCCCCCAACACACCCCTGGGAGTTGGCTCCCTGATGCTTGGCTCCCCGGGCCTCCCGGCGCCCTCTGGAGGGGCCCCCATTATTCGGCCCCCTCCTTGCTCCCTCCTGTAGAAAGGGGCCCAGCCTCACTGCTCACTGCGCACAGCGAGCCTATCTGTCCAGCGACCTCTGTTTTGTGTGTCTGTTTCCAGCTCTTGGGTCTTCACTCTTCAACTTGTAATTCCCTTGGATTCATACCTTCCTCCATCCTACCCAGATGTCCAGTGACCTCTGACCCCACACAGCCCCTTCCTCAGCCCCCAGCTCCTGTTCTGCTGCCTGGTATTTGGGTTTCCAGCCTTCACACCCTCCACTGTGAATTCTGACCCTTCCTTGGTGACCCTAAGGCCCCTACCTATGGTCCCCAGCATGGGTCACTGAGCCCATAGCCAGGCACCCCCACGACCTCTGACCCCATCTCCGTCTGTACCCAGTGACTGCTTCACACCATTGTCCCCATTCATGACTGGGGAGACCCTCCTCAGAGGCTCCCAGTGTCCAACAGCCCCCACCCCCCTGCCTGGCCTGGGGTTGCAGCCCCCTCCATTCTGGCACCTGGGTGTGACCACGCCCGGCCACTCTGCCCACAGGACCCCCTCTTCGTGCTGGAGCACAGCCTGCCCATCGACACGCAGTACTACCTGGAGCAGCAGCTGGCCAAGCCGCTTCTGCGCATCTTCGAGCCCATCCTGGGCGAGGGCCGCGCAGAGGCCGTGCTGCTGCGTACGGGGTGGGGGCACCCTGGTGGGGAGGGGGCTGGTCCTCGGGGGTCGGGGGAGGGCGCCAGGCCCACTGCCTGCCCTCACCTACAGGTGGGGACCACACGCGCTGCAAGACAGTGCTCACGGGCAAGGTGGGCGGCCTCCTGGCCTTCGCCAAACGCCGAAACTGCTGCATCGGCTGCCGAGCTGTCCTCAGCCACCAGGGTGAGCGAGGTTCTCCCCAACCCAACCCCTAACCGGGCCTTCCTCCCGCCCCTGCCATCACCTGAAGACCCCGGCACTGGGCCCTCAAGCTGGCATTGCTGCCTGGATAGGCCCCAGCCCTTGGGCTGGGGGCTCCTATCTGCAGGCACCCCCATGAGGGTCCTGGGCCCCCCGCCCCGGGAGTTCCCCAGGGAGTTTTCTCCACACACTTGTTCCCTTGTTCTTTCATCTGTGGGGACTTTCAGGAGCCGGGATGGGCAGCGGGCGGGGAAGGGGCAGGGATGGGGTGGCCCAGGCCCTGGCTCAGCCCCAGCTCCCCCGTGCTGACCTGCGACCCACCCCCGCCCCATCCCAGGAGCCGTGTGCAAGTTCTGCCAGCCCCGGGAGTCCGAGCTGTATCAGAAGGAGGTGAGTGAGGGGTCGGAGGAAGCGGGGAGGGACAGCTGTTGGGGGAAGCAGGGCGGCCCACTCAGCCCTGCCATCCCCAGGTGTCCCACCTGAATGCTCTGGAGGAGCGCTTCTCCCGCCTGTGGACCCAGTGCCAGCGCTGTCAGGGCAGCCTGCACGAGGACGTCATCTGCACCAGGTGGGCCCACCTGCTGGGGCCCCCAGCCTCACTCTGGCCAGACTACCTAGGCTCCTCCCTCCAAGCTCCCAAGGCCTGTGGATCAAAACCCTGGCTCCAGGGTGTTGGGCTCAAGCGCCCCACCCCACATCCCCTTCTGGCTGTGGGGGTCTTGCTGACTCTTGGTGTCCTGGCCAGTGCCCATCTCAGCCTTCCTGGGGGGTGGGGGTGGGGGGGTGCTGCTGAGTGGGGAGGGAATGGCCCCACTCCACACACACACACACACACACACACACACGCACACACACACGCGCGCGCGCGCACACACACACAGGCAGAGTCCTGGCCCCCTCCCCCAGGGAGGGGCCGGGCTTTCCCCAGGGAACAGGTGGGCGGGGCGGGTTCCCACGCCAGGTGCCAGGTGACAGGTGATATACGGCTGGTGGCCCAGCGCCTCAGCGAGCACCCGCTGTTATCGGCTCCCCTGTGCCCACTGAGCAAACAGCCCGGCATGGGAGGGGGGTTGGGTGGGCAGCAAGCAGGGGCCAAAGTCCTGGGAATGGCCCCGACCTCACCGCTGGGCTGGGCCACGGGACTGTGGGGCGGCTCTGACCGCCCACCTCGCCCGTAGCCGGGACTGCCCCATCTTCTACATGCGCAAGAAGGTGCGGAAGGACCTGGAAGACCAGGAGCAGCTTCTGAGACGTTTCGGGCCCCCTGGTCCTGAGGCCTGGTGACCTCTGATCTCAGCTGACTTCCCACGAGGGCCTTGGGGAGGTGGGGATTGGTGGAGAATTTAATAAAGTTGAGATATTTTGTTACCGAGTGCTTTGTGGTCTCTGGGGGTTTGTGGTCCACTATTATAAGCCCTGGATCCCTTCACCCTGCCTGCAAGACCCCTGGGCTCCCGCCTCGGCTGCCAGCCCCATACAGCCCGGGGCCTGCCTCAGTCTCCCCCCCCATCCCCGCCCCATGACCCCTCCTTCGAGGCCTTGAGTGAGCATCTAGCTCCTCTCCACCCTCCAGGTGCTGACCTGTTTCCTCCAGGCCTGGGGCAGCCCCTGGCTCAGAGGCTCCCACTCCCCGGAACGACCAGGGGACCCCCCCTCCCGTGCCACACACCCACAATGTTTCCACCTCGGGGTCCTCACCAGCTTTGGGCCTGGGTTTTCCTCAGGGACCCCCGCCCAATCCACCTCCACTCAGAGAGCCTGACCCCACCTCCCAGCTGGCCTTGTGACACCTCCAGGGCTCAAGTCTGCTGTCCGTCTCCATGTGTCCCCCCAGCCCCCCAGTCCACTCCTCTCCTGGGTCCAAAGCCCCACCTTCACTGACCACAGGACCCCTTGGCCCCTTTGTTAGTTTTTCAGGGTGCCCTCAAGTCCAGCTTCTCTCCCATCTCCACCCCTCAGCCCGGGGATCCCCAAATCCAGACAGCCCCTGGACCGACCCTCCCAACCATGTGACCAAGGGGTTGTGCAATCCAGCCCCCTCCCCGACCCCCTCCCTGAGGGGATTTTCGAGGAGGGCTGAGCTGAGCTCACAGCAGCAAGCACCCCTGCCCCCCCCAGGGGGCTGGGCCAAGGTATAAATAGGGGTGGTGGCTTCAGCCAGCCGGCAGCAAACCCAGCCCAGCACCACCATGCTAACCCTAGAGGCTGCACAGTAAGTAGGGGCCCCAAAAACCTGCACTCAGGACCCACACCCCGTGCTATACCTTTGACCCCTCTATGGGGCCTCCCCCAGAGGCGGTGGTCTTGGCCCCACCCAAAGGGCAGGTGCCTGGAAAGGGAGGGGGCTCCACACTGTCTCTCCCCACTCTAGGATCTATTTTTTCCCTCTCCCACTTCAATTCCTTCCTCGTTCCCATCCTTGTCTTTCTTGGATCCTGAAGATCTCTTTCCCTTGGTACACCTGTTTCCCTCCCACCGGCTGTCCTCTTCCGAGGCGCCCTCCATCTCTGTGTCTCTCCCTCCTTGTCTCTGGGTCTCCCTGCATCCCCTGACTTGCTCTCTGTGTCCGCTCACCGTGCTTCCTGCCACATCTGTTCTGTTCTGGGCCTCCGTTCTCTGCCTCTAGCCCTCTCTGTCTCTGTCCCTTCCTGTCTCCTTCTGATTCTGTCTGTCTTCTCTCTCCTTCTGTCTCCCTATCTATCCCCCACTCCATCTATCTCTGGGGCTTAAAAAAATACTTCCAGCTTCCCTGCGTGAATGTCTCTATTCCTTTCTCCCTCCCCTCCTCGCCTCTTCCCCTTCGCTGAATCTCTTCTGAGTTTTCCCATCTCTACCCAGACGTCTCTCCTCTCTCCTCCTGTCCAAGATGGACCCATTTAACTGACTGGCTCACAGAGGCACCCCACCCCACCCCCACCCGCCTCCGGGCACCCACATATCTCCTCTCCTGGGACTTTCTCTCCCTCACTTTCCCTGCCCCCGCCCAGCCTCTGTCTATGCAAATCCCAGGGGAGGGGGGAAACATTTGCCTGGCCCCTGCCCCCCACTTCCTGTCCGGGTGGGAGAGTGGGGGTGAATGCGGTGGGGCTGGTCTCACACAGACACGCAGCAGGACGAGCTGCGGTGGTCACAGCTGCAGCTGCCTCTCCCCCATTCACCCCCCAACCGCTTGGAGTCTCAGGAGGCTGAAGACACCCGTGACATGCCCCTGTGTCTCTCCCCTTCCAGGCTCGATGGGCCACACTTCAGCTGTCTGGTGAGTGGGGCCCTGGGGGCCAGGGAGGGGTGGGGGTGGCCCATGGGGCCCATGATGATCTCCCTACCTCAGTTTCCCCGTTTGCTCCTTTCTGTCCCTTTGTCTCTGGCTTTTCCTCAGTATCTCCCATCCCTCCTGCCCCCCAACCCCAATCTTCCTCACAGACGTTTTCCTAACGTTTCTTACCTTCTCGCAGACTCTGATCCACTTCCTTAAACGGGGAGGGGTGGGTCTTTATGTCTTTGACTTTGTGTCTCTTCCTCTGTCCATCTCACATTCAGGAAATCTCCTTATTCCTTCTTCCCTTCTCTGCTTGGCTCTGTATTTTCAAAAATTGAATTGGAACTATTTCAGACACACAGAACACTCTATCCCACACCCATGAACCCACAGCCCAGGCCAAGAAGTAAAACCTCACTCATGTGCTTGAAAGAACACCCTTGTGGGTGCCCCTACCCTGTACATCCCAACCTCCTTGAAGAGTTTGGCTTTTTTTGTTTTTTTGAATTGAGGTATGACTTACAAGTTGGGAAAGTGACAACTCTTGTGTACAGCTCAATGAGGTGCTACCTTATCCACACACCTGGGTAACTGCTCACCAGACCGCAACATAGAACATCGCCATCACGCCGGAAGAGTCCCTCACGTCCCTGCCCGATCAATACCCACCTCTGATATTTTCCACCACGGATTAGGGCTGCCTGGTTTTGAACTTTATATTAGTTGAATCACACAGGGTGCCCCCCTTAGGGCCTGGTTTCCTTCACTCAACATCAAGTGTGTGTCAGGCGGTGGTCCTTTTTCCTTGCTGTATAGTATTCTGTCCTGGGACCACATCCCAGTTTGTGTGTCCGTTCTCCTATTCCTGGGCGCTTGGGCTGTGTCCTGTTTGGGGCTGTTAATCAAGCTGCTTGGACTGTTCTTGAACCCAGCTATTTGGTGGACATAGTTCTCTTGGGTAAATACCTAGTAGTGAGATCACTGGTCTTAGACTGTAATTGCTAAAGCAACACGACTCTTGGGACGAATCGAAGGGATATGGAGGTGGATGCAAGGAGCCTTGAGACCTTCTTCGCCTCTGTTGCAAACACATCCCTGCCTCTCACCCTTCACCCTGGCTCGAGGCCGGCAAGGCTGGGGGAATTCTATGCCTTCCCCAGCTGCTATGTCCCGACTGTGTACTGGCGAGGAGCTGGGGTTCCCAGGAGTCTACAGTCTTGCTAGGAGGGCCTGCTGTTTCCCTCTAGGAGACCCTGGGTCTCTGTGCGTCTGTGTGTCTGCCTGTGTCTGTCTCTCATCCTCTGTGTGTATGTCTCTGGGTCTGTGTGTGTTTCCGCTGCGACGCCCAGTCTTGCAGCTTTGTGTCTCTGTGTGTCCCTCTTTGCCCCGTCTCTGGTGCCTAGTCTCTGTGTCTCTCTGTGCCTCTCTCATGCCATCTCTCTGTCTCTGTCTCTGTGCTGTCTCTTTTAGTTCCTGTGTCTCTTCCTTTTCCTCTCCCAGCCTGGCAGAGTCTCCCTGCTGGTCCAGGGGGCAGTGGAGTCTTCCTGCAGCTTGGGGGACCTCTCTTTTCCTCCTTCTCCCCTATTAGTACCCAGATGGAGTCTTCTACGACCTGGACAGCTGCAAGCACTCCAGTTACCCGGATTCAGAGGGGACTCCCGGTGAGTGACCCTGGCCCAGACCCTTCCCCACCTACTCCTTGGGCCCATTTCACAGATGGGGGTGCTGAGGCCCAGGGGAGGTTTTCATCTGGCACAGCAGACAAGGTAAGCCGAGGCCTCCAGCCTTCCTCCCTTTCCCGCTCCTACCCACCCTCTTGCCATGCAAATCCTGGGGTCAGAGATTTGCACAGCCCACAATGGCCCCTCTGTGCCAGGGGCATCAAGGGGGAAGGGGCCGTGGCCAGACCTCCCAGCTTCTGAATCAGTGCCCTCCCCCCAGACCTGTGGAGCTACGGCCTCAGTCCAGCTCTCCCTGCCGCTTCCTATGAAACCTTTGACCCGGCTGTGGCCACCTTCAGCCACCCCCAGGGTGTCCAGCTCTGTTACGGACCCTCAACCTACCCCCCTGGGGGGAACCTGGACCCGGCCCCCAGCCTGGAGGCCCCAGGGCCCGGCTTCCCAGCGTACCCCATGGAGGACTTCACCAGCCAGGTGAGGGGCGGGGAGACAATGAAAATCCCCATCATTTGATTAAGGTTTACTAGGCGCCAGGCACTGCATCAAACCTTGCCCACACGTGAACATCCTCTGATGATCCTCAGAGGTTAAGCACCATATGACTCCATTGCACGAACCAACCACCAGAGGCCCAAACGTGGGCCAAGGGGCAGCACCAATGGCCGTTGTTGGTGTTGGGCAGGTTTTCACGGAGGTGGCCTCAGGTGTCCCCTGGCCACGCCATGGAGATCAGAACCGAGGCTATGAGCAGAGCGGGGAGAGCCATGGTCAGGGACCAGGAAGGAGCCAAGGGACGAAAGCAGAGGGAGGGAGACCAGGGGGCCCCCCAGGACTACAGGCAACCCTGACCTTCCGCAGACCCTGGGCCCCCCAGCGTACACCCCATACCCCAGCCCCGTGCTGTCAGAGGAAGAGGACCTCTTGTTGGACAGTCCCGCCCTGGAGGTCTCGGACAGCGAGTCGGATGAGGCCCTCGTAGCTGGCCCCGAGGGGAGGGCATCTGAGGCAGGTATGTGGGGACTCCAACTGGAGATGGGGGTAGGGAGTGAAAGGAACCATGATCTCCCAAGCATCTCCTATCTATCCTCCAGGGCTGAGGACAGTTCCCAGATCTGCCTTCCACTGGCTGTGTTGCCTCAGGCAACTGCCCCTACTTCTCTGTGCTTTGGTCTATCTGTACAATGGGGATAACAGTAATAGTGTCTGTTATTGGTAGCTGGGAGGATTAGGGAGGACAATACATGTAAAGGAGATAGCAGAGCTTGGCACAGAGTAAGCACTCAATAAATCTTCACCATCATTATGGACAATAGCAACAGAAATAATCACAATCTCAACTCCCATCTAGTCAACTGCTTCTCCCCATGGGCCCGACATCCATTATTCGCAACCCCTGGAAGCTGGAATTATTAGTTACTTTTCTGTTCTGGGCC